TTCATCCGCAATTAATGGGTTAATTACCCCCTAGAAGTATTCTATTTATTCTTAATGTTGTATCAATGTATTCTTCTATTCCCCTTGAAGAAGGTATAATAGTCATAATGAGCTAAGTGAGAAATCATTTATCTTTGTTCACATCTCTTAATATCTGTTGGTTTAACCAAAAAACTTTACATTTTATTTTAATGAAAAGTTATTTCTGATTTGATGACAAAATGTTTAAACAAACACAAAGTGTTGACCATGGGAAACAATAATGATGTTGTATTAAACATACTTTTTATGCACTGAAAGAATGGGAAGTTGAAACCACTACATCATATGGAACATATTCCACATAGACAATAATGTTTCTGCTCACAGGTGCATGGATATTATAAAATTGAGTCTTAACATATGATTGATATAGAAATATTGAAAAAGTTTAAAACAATTCTTTGTTCATTCTGATCTGAAATCTCATAACAATTGTAATACCCTAAAATACTATGCAAAAGATAGTGGTCCTGATAAAACTTGCACTACTGAAAATGTGATATATGAATTTATGAAATATACAATATACAGTGTTCTAAGGCACATATTGGTGAAATTGATTGTCCACTACATGAAAGATTTCAAGAGTACATCAGTGATATCAAAAAAGAAGCTATGATTGAATGCACTGTTTCACCACACAGACTGGACAATGAAATACCTTTTGAAATTAAAGTTTTGGAAAAATGTAATAATTATTTAGAAATAAAATATAAAGAAGCATTACTAATTAAAGATGAAAGTTCTCCATTAAGACAGATATAAAGGCTGGTCTGTCTAAATTCAAATTTGTATAACATAAAAAAGCTGTATTTCCATATTTGCATTATATCTATATCTCAGGAGAATAATGTTCCTCGTAGATTGTCATATCATGTGACATCATGCCACGTATTTGCATTGTTGTATTGTGTGCTATTCAGATTGTATGTTTGAACTGATTCAACTGTAGATATCTAACCCATAATAATGGCATAAGTCAGGACATCGGGTACATTAAGTTTTATTTATGTGGAGTTTGTGGTCATATTTATTTTAATAAGGTTTTGAGCTGAATACCCAAATGCCTTTAGTTACAAAATAGCATTGGTATAATACTTATACATACTCAGACAGATAACTGTTTGAGCAAGTACAGCCTGTTTCTCAGTTTTTAAAAGCATATTATGCTTCAGTACTATCATCACAGTAGACAGTAACAGCATATGTTTCACACCACTTGTACATTTGGAAACACCTCTACCTCCTTTGGGCCTAACCTGGTCAGCAATAGATGATTTTGATGCAGAACTGTAGTTAATCTTACTGGCTGGTAATTTGAACAGGAGATCCATCCAAAAGATGCCAATGTACAACTCTGCTGGATCTGATAGCTTAAACCAGCTGGATTATTTACAACTGTAGCTCTTTGTTGACCTTCTTGTATCTGTTGTGGTGTCAATATGAATGGCACTTGTGTCCGATAGGATACGGACATTCCTAAAACCAATGACCAGGTAAGCTACAGTTGAAGCAGGTGCTCACACTCTTGCCACATTTGGAAGTCCAACTGTTACTGATATTGTGGTGTAACTATGATAAATTGAGCTGTAAAGCTCTGTTGTTGGAACCATGGTGTTTAAAGTGGAGATTATGAAGCTAGTGATTAATGCTTCGTTAGCACCTTGTTTACTGTCACAAACCATGAAATGCTATCTCACAGCTGAGTCTGCTACTACAGATTCCACTGCTGATGTGTTTTTTCCTCTACTCCACCACAGGTTTAACGTGACCATTTTTAAAAGTGTTACCACAGAAAATTCCTTTGTGATAGATATGTCCCTTAAACCCACGTGCTGCATAAGTTTGTTCAGCAGTTCTTTGATGAACTTGTCAATGAATAACTCATTGTTGTCATTAGCAGACATGCTCAAGAAATTCTCTCCAATGCAATTTTCTTAAATCTACCCTGGAAATTTGAGTGTTCTCGTGGATCCTTGCTTTTTGGTTTTATGCTATTCTGCAGAGGATTGTTAAACCTGTGGTAAAACTTTTTGACATCTGTGTTCCAGCTGTTGAGTTGCTCCTTGTCCAGGTCCTCCAGGCTTTCAAACACCAGATCATCTAAACTAAACATCAGATGTTGCACTGTCTGTTGCTAAGTCCAAATCCTACTTCATCATCCTTTTGAATACTGGTTGATTAACTTGTTTGACATCTACACCATAATTATATAGTAATGCAGACAGGTATCCACTACAAGTTTCTCTACTGCAATACAGCTGAGAGGCCTTGCACATTTTGGATAGTTCAAAAACCCATGCACTCTGATGAATGCAACATTCTCAGGCAGTCTTGTACTGAATGCAATGACGTGTATAGATATGCATCACTGTTAAAATCCACTTCACCCTCAACCACCAGATGCAGTCTTGGAGTGCCATTAGTATGCCTTGTCAAATGGGAAGGTTCCCCCGAATATCCCAAGGGTCATCTAGATTATATCAAGATACTGACTGCTGTACTTGTTATAGTAGTCCCTATTAGATATGACCAACCTATCTACCACAATAAAAAAGTTGCATCTAACAGAAATTTGTTATTCAAAGGATCAATTACCAGATAACAAATGACCAAGTTCAAGGTGTGCCAGTTGCTATTTCCAGGGGTTGAGCATAATGGTTTATATACTGTATAGGTAGACAGATACTGTAGCTAATTGGTACACTTTATAATAATAGTTATGATGGATAACAATTCAATAAAGATAACTTAAAATTGTTTTGTTTATGTTTTATGTAAAATAATTTATTCATCAATCACCCACATATCACATTTTTATTACATACACATAAAATATTACAAACTGACACAAAATTTACTTTATAAAAAATCATCCATCTTTGTTTCTTTTGCATATTTAAAGGAATCACTTTGAATGTTCACGAGTCTGGCAGTTATTATATCAAGAAACATTTCATTGTTAGTTTTCACCACACGACTTTAATATCCGTTGATAAAATAACATGCAATAAATGTCCAGAATTCTACCTCAGAGAAACCGGAAAAACATTGGAAACCAGTTTCAATGAACATAATAAAAAATATTCCATATTTACCACCATTGCAACTGAAAAAATCCACAGCATATCTATTCAAAACAATTT